CCGTCTGACGTATCCGCCTCCGCGACCCGAAAGGAAAAGCGGCCATGAAAAATGAAGATGAAGAAGAAACGTGTGCTTCATAGAGAAAGGCTATGATCGGATCATGCACAACAATCAGTGGTCTTGCCTGCGAACATATTTAATCGATAGCCAGATGCTACCGGCCATCCGATCACTTTATCCTGACAACACTGAGTCAGAATAAATGGCGTTAAGTAGAAAACTATCAGCGTTGGCACTGGCCTCCGCCGAGGCTACGTTTTGTCCTCTCTCTTGTTCCTCTTGTACATGGATAAAATAGTCAGAAGCAGTCAAGGCGATGAGTGTATCGGTGTAGGAGATGTGGAGATGAGAAAGTTGCTGTTTGCAAACGATCTTGCTTTATTGGCATGTTCTGAAACCGATCTACAGTGCTCCCTCGAAAGGTTCGCAGCCTAGTGCAACGTGGCCGGCATGTAGATGAACGTATCTAAAACCAAGTGCCTTTTCGTTCTCCTGCCTGTTGCTCCCTTCCGATAAACAAAGAAGCAGTGGAGCAGGTGGAGAAGTTCAATTACACCGGAGTCGTGTTTACTGTTGATTGGAAAATTTGAGGTGAAAATCGACCGGCGCATTGGAGTAACCAGTAGGATTCTTTGTGAACTAGCCGGAATCAGTGTGACTAAGCTCTCGGTATTCCAGTCGATCTTCATCCTCGTGCTTACCTTGGTCACGAGTTGTGGATCATGACTGAAAAACTTCGATCCCGGGTACAAGCAGCTGAAATGGGATTTCTGAGACGAGTCGCTGGACTTCAGCGATTCGGCATGATCCGAAACACAGAAATCCGTGAAAGTCTTGGTGCACAGCCGTTGCTTCTTCACAATGAGAAATGACAGTTGCGATGGGTTGGGCACGTGTTGCGAATGCCTCTAGAAAAGAAGGCTAGGCAACTGTTTCTTGCGAAGCCGACCGGCAGAAGGCCCAGGGGACGGCCAAGATTAACCTGGTGCAAATATATGGAAGGAGTCTGCTCGAGACTCCGCTTGTGTTCTGCCAAAGCAGAGACTCTAGCTCAGGATCAGGACGTTGGAAACACCGTCTACGCATGTGCCTCTGCGCCCCGAAAGGAGTAGCGGTGGTGGAAGATGATAATGATGAAGAAGAGGATAAGTGCTTCGTTAGCGAGAAATGATGACAACCGCATTGTGGCCTGCTTCTTTGCTTCTAATGCCATCCACCCAGCGACTGTCATGCGAACGTAGAAGCCAGCGCTTTCGATTTCGACCGTGACGCTTTCTCGCTATGCCCTATATAATCATAATTCGCGTCATCAGTAGAATGCTCGGCTAATCAAAGACGTGCAAATTATGCGCCGCGAACTCGGCTTCGTGGAGGCCAATCGATCAGGTCAATCATGTGCGGAGGGTCATCTGTGCGCAGCTGAATATGAACGGGCAAAGAAATTTATCCCTGAAAAAACTGGACCTAGGAAACCTGGTTTTTTGCATGCTCGGCGAAACTTGTTTCGGACCTGGTAGCCCTTGCCGAGCCAGTCGAACTTAACTTAATTGGCACAAATTTCTCCCGCTTCTCTTCTGTTTTGACGCCGCTTACGCGTAACTTATGATAGAGAGCAAGCGAGAATACTCATAGGTCTGGTTCAGTCTATCTGTTGATCGATCGGCGCTGCCAAACTAGGAAAGAGGATTGAGTTGCATTGCGCCTGCTTGCCGCGTATTACTCTGTGTTGCTGCGTTTATACTGGTCGATGTTTGTTGTTTAGAAACGACCGAACAATCACGTGAACGACGATGGCTGCCTCCGCTGAGTCACCGCGCCTCGTCCAGTTGTGGTTACTTCTGGCGACAGTTCTCATCGACGTCATCGCTAGTGTCCCATGCCCGTTCAATGAACAGTGCCGTTGTTCGTCGAGCGACTGTACGCAGCAGACAGACGTGATATGCGCAAATATGGTTGAGTTTCCGCAGTTTGGCGAGCACAATTCGTGCAACGTTAAGAGCCTGCTCATCAGTGGCAGTTTTACGTCCATTCCTGCCAAGGCGTTCGACGCCTTCACGAACCGTTTTGAAACGCTGAGGATCATCATGGATGACGGTGCACTCGCCGAAACGCCGTTTGTGGTGCACGAGAAAGCGTTTCAAGGGTCGGTCGGTCTCATGCTTGAACGCTTAGAGATTTCGAACGTTCCGACACTGACCGAACTGCCGTTCGCACTGAAGTCGCTGAAGAAGCTCCAGACGCTGGTCCTGAACCATACCAGTATTACGCACATCCCAGCGGAGATTCTGTCTAAGTTAATTGGAAACCTAGTCATCACGCACTCTAAGGTGAGTTCAGTCGACTCAAACGCGTTCGAAGGAATGGAGTTTCTGTTCGACGTTGATCTGTCGTACAACAATCTGTCCGTCTTTCCAGCGGAAGCTTTATCGTCAGTCATGGTTAATCTCCGTCAACTGGACCTACGTTGGAATGATATAAGCAGCTTGTCGGCTGTCTCATTCCAGGGCTATGAAAGATTGAATAAACTACTGTTGTCAGGGAACCCCTTGGTCGAATTGCCTGATCGATTATTCAAGGGAGTCGAAGACACACTGATAGAGTTCGTCTGCGACGATTGCCACCTCACGCAGTTTCCAGCCACAGCACTTAACGTCTTACCTAAGATAAAAAAACTGCAATTGCGAAATAACAACTTTTCTCGTCTACCTAGAAAGAGCTTCTACAATATGACTGTTTTGAATGTCGTCAACCTGGACAACAATCCGATCGTGACCATTGACTACGGAGCCTTCGACCAGGCTGCGTTCTCTTCCGTTGCCCTACTGAACACCGCTCTGACAGAGCTAGACGTTGGAGTGTTCAGTGGTGACAACAATCTAAACTCGGTTAACTTGACGAGGAATATGCTGCTAACGAAAATCAGGTTAACTACTGATCCGCCGCTACTGCGGGTTCAACTTTTCAACTTAACGTACAACAATATATCCATAGTGGAGCCGTCAACGTTTGAGTGGCTGAGACAAGATTCGAAAAAGATGGATATATCGTTTAATACATTCATTAATTGTAGCGAAAAGCACATTCTGCGATGGTACGCGGCTGCCATGGATTGTTTTCCGTCGTCGCATTTCGTCATCACCGAAGCGAAGTGTGCTATGAACGATACACCACTGGCTGATGCCATCGCATCGGTGATGCCCGTCAACTGCGAGGATTTCGAGCCCACTACAACTACAATGACTACAACCACAACTTCCGCGAGAACAACGACGACAAAGTCATCAGGTAAGTCATCATTAGCCTCA